CGCTGGTTTGCCTACCCCTACTTTCGCTGATTTACGTGACAACGGGCTATTGATTGGGCGCCACCGACCTTTGGTCGATTCCCGATCGAATTTCATCTAGTGTGCTCGTGCTCCACTGAAGTGACCGAGATACTCGGAATCACTACATCGATGTTTCGTGACATTACTCTCTTAAAATTTGGGCGCTTACCGACTGAAATTCGCATCCGCCCTGAACGCAATTAGGTCACGTTGCATTAAATTCAATGCGCGTTAGACCACCTAGACTCGAAGTTTCCATGCAGCCGGAGCCAATTTGCGTAAAATTGTTTCAAAGCCGGCCGAGAGAAGACTCGACTCCCAATAAACCGGGCCCGAGCAGCCTCATTGAACCCGGCTGTGGGTATCCCGGGGCGCGGAGAAACACGAGCTGCCACGTGATGTCGTTCTTGTTTAATGGAAGTGGTGGAAAACGAATGGTGGAGGCGTGGAGGGACGAAGAGACGGAGAGACGGAGGGGCAAGTGGACGGAGAACGAAGGAACTGGGGCGGTAAAACGGAGAAACTCGGGGAGAGAGAAACGGGGGGATAGAGAGAGAGAGAGAGAGAAGAGAGAGAGAGAGAGAGAGAGAGAGAGAGAGAAGAGAGAGAGAGAGAGAGAGAGAGAGAGAGAGAGAGAGAGAGAGAGAGAGAGAGAGAGAGAGAGAAAGTCACGGCTAACACCAACGCCCAACGTCACGCCCGTCCCAGTCGTTGACTGTGACCTAGCGCTGCACCGGAGAGGCGTGAGCATGGGCGAAACCTCCGCCCGGGGCGATTAAGGTCAGGTCAGTTACCTTATTTGACTTCCAGAAGGTTACGGTGATCAAAACCAGTGAGATTGTTTTGATTTTTGAATTGCAATAGGCGTCAAGGATTACGCTACGGGCCATGTTCCTAAAAACAAAAGGTCGATCGGGATAATTTCAGGTCAGTGACCTCTTCTGACCTTTTTTAGTTCCCAAAACACATTTACTAGCCTACCTGTGGTCGAGAAATTCGAAATGACCTTCAAAAACGAATCACTAAAGAATTAATTTAAGTAAAAAAGGTTTTGACGTCCACCTGACCTTTATACCAGGCCCCAGATTAATGTGTTGGCTGCAATCATAAATGCGATTGCCTAGTTGACAAATAAACCGCCTCAGAGTTGTCGAGTGGCTTCGTTTAACACTCCGCTGTCGCATCGGACTGAACGAATCCCCAGGAATGACCTCCGCTGAACTGGCTGACTAATAATGGACTGACTTTGACCTCCATGGGTCAGCGACCTTACAAGGTGCATCAATCCTTTTTAGATGCTAATAGACCGGCTATTCAATTGGTTACAATTATGCAAAGTTTCGCAAGGTTTTGCAGGCTTTCCAGATCCGAAAGTTAATTTGGAGGAACAAATTTCGGGGGTTTAATCGACCCTTAACCCTAGCGCGTGTCAAAACCGTGACACACTATCAGGCCTGTCCAGACCGCACCCAGATCGGCTTCCGACTGCCGCAAGCTTTGAAGCGTGTAATGTCGGGACGCATGCTCTGTAAAGCACCGGCCGGCACCAGTTTTTGCCCGGTGAGCGCAGCTGTATGCTGCCAGGCGGCAGAGTGCATTGGTCAACAGTGTCCCGACACGTCAAGGTCTGCCTCCGACAAGGTCGCCCGGCACCAACCACCCCTCTGCCCAGGCCAGCTGTGGCAAATAAAACCGCCGACGGCAGCATTCAAGGGCCAACTGCGAACCGAAAGCACATAATACGATATGGCGCGTGTTGCACTGATAGCGCCGCGCCTATTTCAAGGACGTTGATTGCAGGGGCGCCGCCCGAGCGACAATAGAGAAGGATGCGTCAGCATAGTTTTTTCGCTGGGTTATACTTTGGATTCAAATGGTAACTCGTTCTCGATGTCCCGCGCACAATGAGTTTCCGTATATTCCGGCCCGTTGTTCCGGTTCAGATCACACTGCGTATCCCCACTCCGCCGTCGAAACGGACGCTTCCGCGACGGTTCCCATGCGATGACGCGTCGGAGGCCGGAAATGCCTGCGGCGCTCAGGGGTCGGAGGCCACGCGGGCAGGGTGACCTTGAGCCACCTTGAGGGGGGCGATGACCGCGCGCTGCACGCGCCGCACTGCAGCGCGGCGGCGGCGGACGGATGGTGCTGCCGACCGGCCGCGCGGCTGATGAGCCATCACGGTCTACTGCCAGCGGCGGATCAGGCAGAGAGCTATCTCCGGGCACAGGTCGGCCGGGCTGCGAGTTCCGTGATGAGCTGGTTCAGTGGCCCAGTGATGAGCTGGCGCCGCGCCAGGCTCGTTTGTTGACTTAAGTCGAGTATCGTTTGGCTTGGGCCGGAGGGCGCTGCAGTGTCCGCGGACAAGGAGGGTCCATTGTTTGTTTTGTGCAGTGCCCGTGCATGCGGAAACGATGACAACTTATGAGTGAAATGAGAATCCAGGATTCTGGAGGAGACGAGGGCAACGCAGACGCGTTGTACAAACGCATGCAAGCCGCAGCTGACTAACATGCGACTGTCCGTTCTATCCTTCGCCAAAGAATAGTGATCTCGCGTCACCGCAGCGTCGGGTCACGGAGGTCGTGGTGTTATGCAGTCTTTTCGCAATTTGCTTTGCGTTTCAAATATTATTGGGGTATTGGGCAAACGTTTGTTAAATGTGTAATACTGCCGGAAAATAGCGCCTGATCAAGTGGCCTGTGCGCCAAATGTGATTATACAATGTAGCCTTGGACACAGACACCAGAATTGGGCGGGATCCGCCCCAATTTTCGGGAAAAACCTTCCGGATGTCACATGTGCATGTTGGTTTTTGTAACCTGCAAACGAATTCCCAGCGCGTCGTTAAAAAAAGAAAAAAGTGGTATTACTCATGAACTCTTGAAATGACCAGCCAGCAGAGCATATAGCTAGCCAGTCCCCGGCCTCTCGCTCGTCCGGTCCGTCAGCCGGGGCCTTATGCATGACCTCATTTGGCTCTGAAAACACCGGCCTAGAGTCATGCCGCATTTGAACAACATAGCTCCTCGTGGAGTCCATCCTCCAAGTGAATTTCGTTATCGTAAATTCCACGGCTTACGACATCGTTGATGAGTCAGTGCCCGGTCGGCCACCCACTCGGACGATCAGATCGGGGCAGCATGTTTGACCTCAGTTTCCCCTAAGTATATTAGCATAGAGTCATTACTTTCTTATACAACGAAGGTCCTCATGGTAACCACTTGGGCGCTGTGAATCTCGTTACTGTGCCTTTTACGGGTCCCGAGATGATCAAGGTAGCCATCGTCTGGTCGCCCTCCCGCCCTTGACGATGGCGATCTGGGTTATGTATCCTTGACAATCACTATTTCTATAGCAGCCACCTTCACCGCGGGCTTCGTTACTCTCATTCTAACGGAACCCAAGGTGATCAATGTAGCCGCCCGTGTCCGTCTGATCGCCCCCCCCCCCCCCCCCCCGGTTAGTCATTCGGGTTTACATCTTTGTCATTTGACCTTGAACATTTTGAGCTGGGGTCATAAGGTCTTTGCTCGGATTAATTTTTTATAGTACGCTCCTGCACTGCGGGATTTGCTGCTCCAACTGTTATGGTCCGAGATAGCAGCAAGCGATAGCAGCGAATGACGTGATTTCCCCCCCCCCCCTCCCTCTTCCAGGCCAATAGATTTTAAGAGGTCTTTCAGTGCGCGTATTAAAGAATCGTGCTTCTTGTTGCCTAAAGCTGTGTGGAGCTGCGAACTGTGGCTGTAAATGTGTCAGCCTTCAGAGAACACAGCGTTGGAACGGGCTGGGCCACACAATTGAAAATCTTTCCACTGTTCAAGCAAAACTCATACGCCCCATAGTCGCGCACAGCAAGGAGTCCGTTCTCAACGAAGAGCTCACGAGCACCAGCGTGATTTGTTTTGCTCCCGTAATACCATGACACTGCTGCACACGGTAACAGTCCTTTCCCTCTTTAGGGGAAGCCGTCCGCGCATTTTGGTGACAGCCAAAATGACGTGATAACGATAACGTTGAACATGCGACGCCTCTCTTTTGCTGCTTGACAGGCAATGAGTCGGAGCCATGGGCGTAGAAGCGTAGGGAGAGGGGACAGGGGTCATAACTCCATCACGTCTGAGAATTGTTTGACGTGAACCATACCGTAATGCATGGAAAAACTGACTTCAAAATTAGCAGTGCCCCCCGCCCCGTCCCCCATCTCTACATGCACACTTTCCGAGACGCGCCTACATATTTGCAGAAGCTCTTTCGTAAGCAAAACATGTAGAAAAGAACTAATTTGCCTAACCTTTTGTCCCTGTGCTTCGTTTTTGTCCTGCCGAACGTGTTACAGTCACGTAACGCGGCGAGGCTACCATTTGTGATTACTACCAGCCATTTAGTTATTAAAAAGCATATAACACATTTTGCAGCTTTATAACAGGATAACAACACCCTTGTGCAATGTATAACAACCTCAGGAGGTTGCAAATTAATGCACTCATTCTCGCCATAACATCTCGCCATAACACTCGCCAGCTCGGCTGGTGTCGTGACGTCTCGCAGTGTTCGGCGCACAGCCCGCCCAAGCCGCTGCCGTCTCGGCGTGCTCGAGTGCTCCCAGCTCGTCAGAGGGGTTCGGCCCGGCCCGGCCCGCGAGCCTGGCCGGGTCGCCGCCGCTTCGGCTCCGATTCCGACGACCGTGACAGGTCGGCCGCCCCGAGAGAGAGAGAGAGAGAGAGAGAGAGGGGGGGGGAGAGGGAGGAGGCGTCTCGGGTCGATCCCGGCGCGGCTGCCACCTGCGGCCGGCCGGCGTGGGCGCCACACGAGCGCCCGTGATATCGCCCTGTTGACCCCGACGATCGGCCACGCGCCGGCTGCCCGCGCGTGCGGCGCGGGCTCCAGCCCGGCTAGTTCGCCGACCGACCACCAGGGGCGCCGTACTAGTGCCGCAGACCGGTCGAGCCTGACTCAGTGGGAAGGCTGCCGCGACCGGTGGAGGTGGTGCTGTGCGCGAAGGAGACACATGTGTTCCCATGTGCTGAGCGCCATGGCGATCAACCTGAGCGAGTTCCAGATCCGCTACCCGGACTTTCCCAAGTATCTGTGGGATTCGGAGACACCCTACTCGGACGCTATGAATGTAAGTCGCACCGAACCCAAAGTTCGTCGCGGTGCTCTGTTATTTTTTATAGAGTGATGAGTGATGTGGCATTTCGCTTGACACTTGTTCCTGGTCATGGAAAAGGTTGACTAGGACAGCTATTCGTCGCTGTCCATTTGTGTGGCTCCGACCGTCAAAAAGGGCAGAGACAATTAGTAAAGATTATGACTCTCCTATTTCTGCCTAAAACATGAACACATTTACATTTTATACATGCCTGCCTAGTTGAATGGACCGTTCAACGTTGTCCGACTTTGCGCTGCGTTCCCCTTCCCCCAATCCTCTTCTTCCATGCGTTTTGCCAATACCCACGATTCGTCACATCTCTCACGTTGCCTCCCGTGCTGTCAAAGTTGGATGTTCATCGGCTTATTTCGACAGACAATTCAAGTAATTTTGGTTTAAGCCAGCACATTCATCGCCGTCCTAAAAACTCGGTCTTTCTCGTGGATGCGGTCCTCTCGTGCCGCCGACTCCGCCCGGCCTGCCTGGCGTGTTTAGCTGGCCGCAGCGTCCTGGCCGCCAGCATAGATGCAGGCAGGGATGCCCAGCCTGCGATCCGGTGCAGGCCGCTAGTTCATCAAATCTGAGTGTCGCAGGCTGCGCGGTGAACGTACGCGAATAACGTGTGCCCTTTTCTCTTTTCAAACAACCCGCGTCGGGTGCATGTTAATGTGCTAATTTAAGAGGTACACACAGAGCCATCTGTTGACAGCGACACCAACTACCCGTCGGCCCAGCTGCTCGGTTTTGATGTCCTTGGAAGTACGTCGCGCACTGCTAGTGCTGATCTCGGTCTCTAGCTGGCTCTAACTTGCACCAGGGTCGTTTCGGCGGCGGTGCGGTGGGAGCTGAACTGTGCACCGGCGCGCGGCACCGGCCGCCGCCCGTGGCTCCGTGACGCGCATGACCTCTCGGGCCGGCGACCCTTGATCACCGGGACGGGACCAGACGCCGCCGGTCCGTCTTGAGTCAGCGCCGCGGCAGCTCAGCGCATGAACGGACGGGAAAATCGCCGCCCACGTCCGCGGCTGATTCACGCGCCAAGTGGCTGTGGGGAGTTTGCTGATCCCTGTGACTGCGGAAAGCGAGGTCAGCGGCGGTGGCGCCGGATTAACTGGCGCCCCAACGTCCTCGCGTCCGTGTCACTGATACCCTTGTTTGGCATCCCGGGCGGTGACGCGTCTTATCGGCTCATTGGTGCGTCGCAATCGCGCTGGGAATCCAGAGTTCGTTAGTTGTCGGTTACCAAGGGCAGGATACTGACGTTGTTTGTCTTCTTCAGGTCAAGCCCAGTCGACGGAACCCCGACCACACCAAGCGACCGCTCAACACGTTCATGCTGTTCGCCAAAATCCAGCGCGAGTATATCACGGCCAACTTCAGTTGCAACCACTCTGAGATCTCCAAGGCGCTGGGCCGGCTGTGGCAGGAGCTGAGCAAGGAGGAGAAGGAGCCGTTTATGCGCGGCGCCAAGACGCTGGTCGAGCTACACCGGCTTGAGTACCCCGACTACAAGTACCGGCCGCGCAAGAAGGGCCAGCCCAAGGAGGCGGCCAGACCGTCGGTCGCCAGGAAGACGGCCTGCCGCCGGGAGCGCCAGCTGGCCAGCTCTCCGGAGCCGGTGGTCGGCAGCGTCGGACGGCCGGCCAGTCCGCTGGAGCAGCTGTACCTGGGCGGCGGCGGCAGCCCGGCACCGCTCGGCGCGCCCGACAGCCCGCTGTCCTCCTGCTACGGCGCCGGCTCGCTGGGTCAGGCCAGCCCTGCCAGCGGCCTGCACATGCCCTACAGTCCGGTGCCGTCCGTCGGCTCCTCCAGCGGCTACGAGTCGGAGCTGTCGTACCGGACGGCGCCCGAGCTGCCCGCCATGCTCGAGGAGCCGTTCTACGCCCTGTCGCCGCTCGGCTGTTTCTCGCCCGAGCCCGAGCCGGAGATGACGTTCGACCTGAGCGACCTGGAGGTCACACCGCTCGACGAGACGACGCTGCTCAACCCGCTGGCCATGTTCCCCGTGTTGGACCTGACCAGCGACGACCTGGACGACCTGCGGTTCGGACTGTAGGCGGCCAGCGGCCGGCCGGCCGGGACAAGCGGGTGTGCGCAGGCGCGGCCCCTGCGCGCAGGGGGGTGACCGCGCACAGGCGTGTCACTGTGCGCAGGCGGCCACGCCCTCGTGGAGGCGTGGGGCGGCCGTCAGGTGCCGGCCCGTTAGTCACGTGGGTAACGGCAGTGTCACACCGGCCCTGGTCAATCCAGCTCCGTTCAGTTTGTGATGGATCACGACTGCAGAGGATCTGCCGGTGGCATTGCCACCGCTGGGTCGGGTTTGGGCGAGTTAGGCTACCTGGAATGGTCTGGTGGATGCTGAAGCGTGTGCTGTGTAGGATGTGTCTGGAGTGCTGGTTTTACACGACAATCTTGCTAGTCGTAACGTACTCGTGTGTTGAAGGAAGCTGGGGGCAGCGAGTTGTGCGGGGATCTGGCGGAAGCTGCCAATTAAGTAATTGCTAAGTTCTTATTTATTTTCCTTGTGATCTCAGTTCTTTTGCATGACGCTAGGGCTTTCTTTTTGAGATGCCGAGCTGAAGGAAATTTGTCTTATGTTACGAACGACAATGTGCGAACATCGCGTGAATGCAGATCACTGGCATTGTGACCATTTGGATATGAAACCAGTTTGTGTAAGCAGTTGAGTGTAGCTCATAGGCCCCTGTGATTTCCACAACTTTTGAAACGACGCATTTTAATGATGTGTTCGTGCATATGTGTTCTCGGAATATGTTGTTCGTTTTGGCATGATGTGCGTCAACAGCTGGTGAAAGAATTTCAGATCGTCCTCCATATACAAGACACCGACTCGATTAGTTATAAATTGATTGCGCGATAACGACTGTTTCATAATTTGTGCGCATATAGTTTGATGTTTGGTTTTCCCGGCCGCCTTTCCACAATATTTGACAGAAGATTATATTTTGACGGCCTGCGGACTGTATTTGGAAGCTCAGTGGCGTGTGCCGCGGAACGTTCGGTAGACCCATTTGTGGTAATGTGATCTAGAACATTCAATTTGTGAACCTAAAACGTGCATGCGAAGGTGCTGCCCACAGTCGCCTCACATCCAGGTTTTCTGTCAGCAGCGCCCACAAATAGAAAGCTATAGGAATTACAATTGCTTGGTTGTTCCCCAAACCGTTCAAAGGCCAAGATTATTGTTGCAACGTCTATGTAGGCGCCGTTGACTGCGCTGCCTAAGCAGTGTATAAATGGCAGAGCTAGAGCGGTGAACTGGCGATCCAATGGGATCCAAGCTCTCCCAACTCCCGTACTGAGACGCTGTCTATTTTTACGTGCATCGCTGCGATATGGGCATCATGGCTGGCTTTGCACGAAGGGCACGAGGCCCCCTCGCCTCCGCTGGCGATCATGGAAAGCTCGGTGACGCGACCATCAGCCATGGTGCTGAGTATTGCTGTTTCAGTTCGCAGTCTTGTTGATGGCCGGTGTTTGGCGGCTGGGGCCGCTGGCGCTGCCCAACTGCTCGTAGTATGACCTGAAGTTTGATGATCTATCGCAAGATCTCCATAGAAGGCGAGCGTGCGGGAGACCGCAATGAAATGTGACGGTTGGATCGGATCGCCTCTTGCATGAGGCGTGGCTCTATGAGTGTACGCATTGTGAGCTATGGACGTCGACGGACGGCGCAGACCAGCAGATGGGCACAGTTCCGTCTGAAAACACGCACAGTCTGACAAAGTCTGCGGAGTGACAATGGTCCAGCACAAGATACCTCCACCTATGCAGGTGCTTTTCAATGTGAGCGGTCGTTTGGAAGATGTGATTTGCCCATGCTGTTTTGTGAGTCTAGTCCACCTTTGCGAGCGCGCATGCATACGTGTGTGCTCCCGTGTTTTTATGTTCAGGAGCCGTGTCGTGCATTGCCAATATACGACTGCCCCATCCGAGCTCTCTGTCATGTCTCCGAAGAGTGGTGGGGCTGACCAAACCGGGCTGGGGTCGACAGTACACCGCGAAAGGACTGTGGCACGCTGACGGCTCCTCGCGACGCAGCAGCCCCTGGCGGCCTGCCCCAAACTGTTGGCATCACGGCCATCCACCACATGCCACTGTGACCAGCGGCTATCCCCAACTCTGACCAGTGGCTGTCCCCAACTCTGACCAGTGGCTGTCCCCAACTCTGACCAGTGGCTGTCCCCAACTCTGACTAGTGGCTATCCCCAACTCTGACCAGTGGTTGTCCCCAACTCTGACCAGTGGCTATCCCCAACTCGAGCCACTGACGGCGACCACGGTCAGTCCACACACCTGACCGCAGTGGCCACCCCCAGTTCTCACCACCGCAGCCACTCCCCATCTGCACAAGCGGGGCCTCCGCCAGTCGACATCACCGCAATACAGTGCGCGAGCCTCCAGTCGATACCGCCGCACCAGCGTCCGCCGTCTGCCCGTCTTCCCGTCCGCTGCGCTGTCACCAGTACAAATCCTCTCTCTTCAAAGCGCCGAACCTACTATTTCACCACTAGGATTAAATTCCGTTGAAACAATCGGCGTCTTCGATCTTTTGTTACATCATTTGGGTTTTATTTTAGGACGTATCTGGTCGCTCCAGATATTTCACATGAGCTCGACTGTTCACATAAGTCGTACGCCCATTTTGGTCTAACATATTTGCCAAGCATTCGAAGGGCCTTCGATGGGCGCAACATGACCTCGGCCGTCGACGCGTCGTCAAGCCCCTGTCATCGTCATCGTCTTCGGACATTTTACAGCGCTGGAAATATAAGCCCATGCACGAAGGGCGGTGTGTGCGGCCACGCTCAACTGCCAACGTTCGCCGCGGACCGGTCGTCCACGCGCGCCAGCCGGCCGGTCTGCCGTCTCCGCCAGCGACAGCGGTCGGCCGAGCCCTGCCTGGCAGCGGGAGCACCTGGCGTCCTCGGACCCTCCCCCTCTCCCCCCCCCCCGCCCCGCCCCCCAGGAGCTGTGGTGCCGTATGCTCGCCACGATGGGGCGTGGCTAGTGGGGCGCCGCAGGCGACGGCCCAGGGCGCCCGGCCTTTTTGCGCGCGGTTTTTCTTCTCTTTTTGTGGCGCCGCCCGACACGCGCTGCGGCTCTCCCTGGCAGGGAGGCGCAAGGTCACAAAAAGCAGCAAAAACATTGAGGTAACGGGCACAAACCGCCGAAGAAGTGCACTCGATCTGGCCGTGCGCCGTCGCTATGAGTCTGCAATCGCACCAGCCGGGCCCGGCCGGCGGTAAAAACTGACCCCGATCCACGGGCAGCCGACGGCGCCACTGGCCAGGGTTGCTTTTTCCCGAAATGACCTGAATGTTGGAGCTCCTGTTTACCATGGTTGATGGGTTTCTTTGCGTGTGAGTACATCCATCTGCGCTGACCGGGCTTTGTGCGAGTGTATTACAGCCTGACGATGCCGTTGGCGGCTTCAGATAGGTAAGCGAGGTTCTTGGCATAGATTACACCATGGCCGTCGAAATGACCTGATACGCGTCCTTCGAAGCCAGTAGCGTGCGCAGCATGGTCGCCCTGGAGCAGTTCGGTCCAGAGTTTCCTCCCTGACAACCGTGAGCACGCCATAAAAAGGCTGCTTAGTGGTGTAGTGATCCAGATGAAAAGAACTCTTGCACATGAGCCTTCCAAAACGAGCAAGGGAGAGAAGCGTTTTTAAAACATATGCAATACAATCGGCTTAGGGCAACGTGCATTTTTTAAGGCGTGCTCGGGTGTGGGGTTCAAATTACCCCCCCCCCCTGAGGTTTTTTTCCGGAATGGCTTCTGAACGGGGCGGCGAAGCTGCGCCAAATTTTGCACAGCCGTAGACAACTGGACAGCGGACGGCTTGATATCAAAAAATTTAGATTTACCTAGCAAGGTCGCAGACCTTTGGCAGATCTAAGTCAGGCCATGGATTCAGCGAAGCCAATTTCTAGGCAATCGTTCAATCTGATGCAACATCGAAGTGTAAGACGAAGCCATGCATCTCTGAGATACTTTCTCATGCAACACAACAATTTAATGAACAAATTTCATTGATCTAGGGTCAGTTATGAAGGTCAGATCAAGGTCAAAATCAACCTGTTTTATTACTATGTGGCTTGCTGTTTAGGGTAGTTTCTGGTGCCCATTCTGAATTTATTGATAACAGGAACTGCATTGTACATTTTCCATGGACTTCTTAAAGGTTGACCTGGATCATCATGGGTCATTGACCTAAAATGACCCAGGTCAACATGTTTTTAGGAGCATGCTGTCTCGCGTAATCTTTCACGCCTATTCAAATACAAAACTCAAAGCGGTCCCGTATGATTTTGGTCGCCATGACTTCCGGAAGGTCACACAAGGTCACTTACTTTAAATGGTATGTGACCGTTTGCTCAGAACAGTTATTTTGGTTCTGGACGTACTTTGAAGACCGACCTGGAGTTTGACCATGCTTCACCTTATTTGACCCGAAGGTCGTGACCTGGGAACCTCAAACTTTAACCTAAGTGAGTTCACGTATAGGCCAATGCCCCCTGTGAATTTGATGTATCTTAGCTTCTGAAATATCAGGGGCCGTCAAATTGGACCGTCCCCACCCAAGCAAACGGTATCCAACTGGTCATCCGGGCCGTGATAACAGTTGAGAAGTAGCTACATTTCTTCCCTGCCTTTCACACCGTGTTCCCAGGCCACTGCAATCGGGTCATTTTGTCAATCGGCAGATATCAATGGTATGGCCTCCCATCAAGGAAGGCCATACTATAGGTTCTCTCCGGTCGGTTTCTGCCTGCAACATAACAATTGCGGTATTGTGAATAAAATACCTGGTGATAAAACTAGCATGGCGATGATGTTAAAGGGAGTGTGTCAACGTTAAAAATGTTTCAAGAACATACTCTAGACAAACCTCAATATTATCTAGTCAAAGAAGTGCCACTGCAGCACCATCGAGACAGAATAAGGGTAAACTTTTGATTATTCTCGCATCCGAATTATACTGTCAACGCCTTGCAACAGCAATATGCTTCTTTCATGCAGTTGTTACGAACGCCGTCGTCATGACAACCGCCGTCGTCATGACGACAGTAGAATCTGCGGAGGGCCATTGTCAGCTGTTTGAACGTTTGCGATTGGCACAGCGGGCGGCAAGGGCCAGTTACCGAGAACCGCATCGGTTTAAGTTTGAACCAGTGCGTCACTATAAACCATGTGATGTTCCTTTTTCCAAATCCTAAGGGCGCTTGAAAAAGATCTCCGCATAGTGAACGCCTAGGAGAAAAATTCAGTAATAGGATAACGCTTCACTGAAGTCGCGGAAAAATGGCCCCATTTTTGCGGTTATTCTGACAGAGTTTTTCAAGCTTTGGTAGTATTTATTGTAGAAAAAGTTGCTGCAACTTAGTGTCTTGCCAATATTACCGAGCTTACACGTTGGAAAAAGCAAGGCTGACGTGGGGTATATTACTTTTACAATGCTGAGCGAGCAGTCCGAGATTTCTCTTGTAGGATCGGCTATTTCAAATCGACATTCTGGGCTTTTCAGGACTTCGAGAAAACTGGTATCACTGATCAAATCGCAAGCGCCTGATCTAACCATGCGTGAAAAAAGAAAAAGTAGTATGCCCTCTTCAATGAAATCCTGGTTTTGAAGTCGAGAGCAATATGGCCCAAAGTGGAAACAAAACCAGAAGTACTTCGGATGTGCTTTTATTCTAACCCGCGCAACAAGCCTCTGCATCATGCTGCTTGCGTATATGGGCTAAGGATTCGTTGATGAAAATCTCGGCAATCCTGGGTTGATACTTAATCATTTAGGGGCCTGTTGTTCACTTGTGTGGCAAGTGTCCGCTTCCATGACGACGCCCAAAGCTGGATATATGGATAGGCCCTTGCCTGTTCCCGGTTGATCAGCCTGTTCTGGTTTAACTAGGATCAGATCCAGTTGACCCCGACCATGCTTGACCTTGGTTATCCCAAAACGCTTGCGACATCAGGTTTTAAAAACCTGTTACAATAGCCTTTGATCCAGATCAAGGTACTTCACAGTCATTTCCGGTCGACTCGAGTTAGTTTCTCCTATTAAAGCCATCTTATGTAAATATCCGATCATCATCGGCTGCGGACCCATATCTTCGACGAACCAGTAGTTTGGTCGACTTCACCTACAGCTGGTCCCGAACACCAACGACTACAGCGTGGATTCACCAATATAATCGGCATCGCAGTGATCTCCGGCCGATCAAGATCATGATCGACTGCAGAGCTAACAGGAGTGGAGCCGAGCACGATGTATTTCACACTTAATTCCGGAATATGATCGACCTCACAGTAGTCTTTGGTCGAGCCTTGGGTTAACCTTACAGTAAACTCCATCCAAAACCTCCATTGAAACATCAACTCCGTCCACATTCCTTCATCCTGGATCCAAAACATCATCGACTTTAAAATAGTTCTGGTTAGTCCCGGTTGTGATCAGTCTAACAACCACCCCGTAGATCGGTCTAACATCTTAAAACCATACCGTAGATCGGCTTAATAACCCCGTGGATTCCGGTCCCAACTGACTCCGGGTTGGCATGCAGCTCCTGTGAATCCGGGTCCCAATCGACTTAAGAACCCCGTGGATCCCGGTCCCAACCGACTCCGGATTCGCAGGCATCTCCTGTGTATCCGGGTCCCAATCGACTTATGATCGTTTTTTCATGGATTCTTGTTCTATCCGACTGCACGGACTTCTCCAGCGCCCCCGAACACGACACTCGCGGTAATTTGCGATGGATCCCTAATATGATTAATCTCTCGATCATCCTTCGCGCATCCCGGATATGATTGACTCCAGCCGTCTCCGCAGGATCCAGGATCTAACCAACGTCAAGACGATATCCGACAGATCCCGCGCAGCATCGACTTCGCAATCATCTCGACTGGATCCCGAACATGACCA